CCAAAACCTAATGGAAACTAGTTGTCCTTATACAAATAAAGATATAAAGAAAGAAGGAATCACAATGAAATGGGTAGGAGGGGTGGAGTCGGTATCATCAAGACCCACACCCCAGGGTGGGCAACCCACAAATAGGAGGATAATTGCAATTGGAGAGGTTCTCACCAAGGTGTGAGAGGTCTGTGTCCCACGTCAGCTCCCCAGCCCAGGGATCCTGTGCTAGGAAGCTGAACCTCTAGAAAATGTGGCTTTTAATGCCAGTAGGGCTTACTTTCAGGAAACCAAGAGAGCTGTTGAAAATAGAGACTCTACTATTTTTTTAAACACCTTTATTGTGGTATGATTCCTGTACAGTAAACCACACACACTTCAGATGTACAGTTTGATGAATTTTGATGGATGTATACACCAATGAAGCTACCACCGCAATCAAGTTAGCTAACATTTCCATCACTCCCCAAGAGGTGCAAATTTTGAATTCCCAATTTATCCTTTCCCACCCTCTTTACCCCCTGATAACCATAAGTTTGTTCTCTATGTGAGTCTGTTTCTGTTTTGTAGAGTTCATTTGTGTCCTTTTCTTAGATTCCACATATAAGCAGTATCATATGGTATTTTTCTTTCTCTTTCTGGCTTACTTCACTTAGAATGACAATCTCCAGGCCCAACCATGTTGCTGCAAATGGCATTATTTTATTCTTTTTTTATGGCTGAGTATTATTCCATTGTGTATATATTATCTTCTTTATCCAGTCAACTGTCGATGGACATTTGGGTTGTTTCCATGTCTTGGAGATTGTAAATAGTGCTTCTGTGAACATTGGGGTGCATGTATCTTTTTTGAATTAAGGTTCCTCCTGGATATATGCCCAGGAGTGGGATTGCTGGATCATATGGTAAGTTTATTTTTAGTGTTTTATGGAACATCCATACTGTCCTCCATAGTGGCTGCACCAATTTACATTCCCACCAACAGTGTAGAAGAGTTCTTTTTTCTCCACACCCTCTCCAGCATTTATCATTTGTACTTTTTAATGATGGTCATGGGTGTGAGGTGATACCTCATTGTAGTTTTAATTTGCATTTCTCTAACAATTAGTGATGTTGAGCATCTTATCACGTTTGGCCTTCTGGATATCTTCTTTGGAGAGATGTCTATTTAGGTCTTCTGCCATTTTTTGATTAGGTTGCTTTTTTTTTATATTAAGGTGTAGGAGCTGTTTGTATATTTTGGAAATTAGCCCCTTGTCAGTTGCATAATTTGCAAATATTTTCTCTCATTCTGTAGGTTGTCTTTTCATTTTGTTGATGGTATCCTTAGCTGTGCAAAAGCTTTTAAGTTTAATTAGGCCCCATTTGTTTATTTTTGCTTTTATTTCTATTACTCTAGTAACTGGTTTGAAAAAATATTGCTATGATTTATGTCAGAGAGTGCTCTCCCTTGTTTTCTCCTAGGAGTTTTGTGGTTTCTGGTCTTGCATTTAGGTCTTTAATCCATTTTGAGTTTATTTCTTTATATGGTATTAGAGAATGTTCTAATTTCAGTCTTTCACAGGTAGCTGTCCAGTTTTCCCAGCATCACTTGTTGAAGAGACTGTCTTTTCTCCATTGTATATTCTTGCTTCTTTTGTTGTAGATTAATTGACCATAAGTGTGTGGGTTTATCTCTGGACTTTCTCTCCTGTTCTATTGATCTATGTGTCTGTTTTTGTGCCAATACCATACTGTTTGGATTACTGTAACTTTGTGGTATAGTCTGAAGTCAGGGATCATGATTCTCCCAGCTTTGTTCTCCTTTTTCAAGATTGTTTTGGCTACCCTGGGTGTTTTGTGTTTCCATATAAATTTTTAACATTTTTTCTTGTTCCAGCTCTGGAGACGCCACTCTTAAAAGGCACACACAGAATCTCACACGTTCCAGGATCCAGGATAGAAGCAATAATTGAAAGAAGTATGGGTGAGACCTACCTGCTGGTTAGAAAGAAGTCTTTTCAAAGAATAGTGCTGAGATACCTGGATATTCCATCCAATAAATGAATTTTTACCTCTACATCACACCATAAACAAAAATAAACTCAAACTGAATCATAGACCTAAATGTAAAACCCCTAGAAGAGCATATAGGACTAAACCTTCATGATTTTGGAATGTGCAATGATATGGCAACACAGCACAAAAAGAACAAGTGATAAAAAAGAACTTCGATCAGTTGAACTTTATCGAAGATAAAAAATTGTGCTTCAATAGACACCATCAAGAAAGTGAAAAGATAACCCAAAGAAATGGAGAGAGGGAACTTTTACAAATTGTAGATTTGTTAAGAAACTTGTGGCCAGAATATATAAAGTACTCTTACACCTAAATAATTAACTGACAAAGAATCTAATTTTTCAAATGGGAAAATTAAGTTACTACACTTTCATATAAACATGATATACAAATGACAAAAAAGCACATGAAATTACACTCATTATCACTAATTCTAAGGAAACACAAATCAAAAAATAGTAAGATACACCTTACAAACAACTAGGGTGACTATAATCAAACAAATAGTAAGTGTTGGTGGAATTGTGGAAAACTGGAACTTTCTTGTATTGCTGATGACAAAGAGGAAGTTACAGCCACTATAGAAAATAGTGGGGAGGTTTCTCAATGAGTTAAATGAAGAAATACCATATGTCCAAGCAATTTCTTTCTTATGTGTGCATTCCATCAAATTGAAAACTTATGTTCACACAAATGAGTACAAGAAAAATCACAGAAGCTTTGTTCACAATAGCCAAATGTGGAGACATCCCAAAGTCCATCATTTAATGAATAGATAAGCAAAAATGTAGTATATCCATACAATGAAGAATTATGTAGTTATAAAAAGGAATGAAAGAGTGACATGTGCTACTACGTAGATGAAATTTGAAAACAGTATGTTAAGTCAAAAAACTGAAAGAAGCCAGATACAAAGTAGATCCACGTTTTTTAAGCTTGATTTCTATGAAATCCATAAATTAGGCAAAGTCATAGAGAGAGATGCAGATTAGTGGCTGCTAAAAGCTAGGGGTAAAGTGGGAAGCAGAGAGTGACTCCTGGTGGGTACAGGTTTCTGTTGTAATGAAAATGTTCTGTAATGAGCGAGTAGTGATGGATGCACAACTCTGAATAAAACCCATGTAACTGTATATTTTAAAGGGTGAATTATGTGGTATGTGAATTATACCACAATGAACTTCAAAAGAAGAATTTTTAATCAAAGATTTAGTGCTAACAAAAGTGACAGTTTCCCCATGTTGCTCTTCAGTTCTTCCATAGCACATTGTGCATTTGCCGTATGTAAGTTTTATAATACCGGATTGTAGTTATGTACCTTTTCCTTACTCACCATAGTCTTACACTTAAAAGACCTTGTCTTAACACATTGCTGTACTCCTAGGACAGAAAAGATCATAGCAAATGTTATCTGGATGGATCAATAAGTCAGCAAAAAATAAACTTTATACACTCACCACTGGCTTAGCCCTCTGTCCTCCATCATTACCCACCCTGCCCCTCATTTCAAATAATTTATTTTCAGTGTGAATTCATGGTTTGATTTGACTTGAAGCAGAATGTCATGTACCAAAAGGAAAGGACTGCACTATATTTCACGTGCTTTAACTCAGGACTGTTTTCATTAACACTTTTAATCAAAATTCAGTACTAAACAAGCACAGAACTTACTTCCAGTACTTTTCACAGAAAAATTTAAAGCATTTCATTTTTGAGTCTCACAAATGACATGTTCTGAAAGGAACTGCAAACCATGTAGCAGGTTTATTTTATTTTATTTACAGATGTGGAGATCAAAGTTCAATGCCACTTCGGGGCACTGCTGACGATAAGAATTTTCAAAAAGTAGACCTTTAAACAGTTTTGTCAACTGCTGGAAGCATCTCAGTAGAATATTTCTCTGTGACTTTCAAGAAAATAGTTTTCTATCTGATCCCTAAACAGCTTGGAGAAATAGCTTCCATGGCCTTGTTGTGAGACGGGGCCCATTGAGTTAACGCTGGGATCAGGATCAATACACACCTAGTGTGTGACATAGTGAAAGGAAACTTTTTCTGTCTTTGAACTTCTCTCAGTAGTCATTTTGCCTCCCCTTGGGGATCACCTGCTCAGCCTCGATGGCCTTTCAGGAGCTCCTGGATCAAGTTGGAGGCCTGGGGAGATTCCAGATCCTTCAGATGGTTTTCCTTTGTATCTCCAGCCTCATAGTGTACCCTCATATACTACTGGAGAACTTCACTGCAGCCGTCCCTGGTCATCGCTGCTGGGTCCACATCCTCGACAATGACACTGACTCTGCTAATGGCACCGGGACCCTCAGCGAAGATGCCCTCCTGAGAATCTCCATCCCACTGGACTCAAACCTGAGGCCAGAGAACTGTCATCGCTTCCACCACCCCCAGTGGCAGCTCCTTCACCTGAACGGGACTTTCCCCAACATGACTGAGCTAGACACTGAGCCCTGTGTGGATGGCTGGGTGTATGACCGAAGCTCCTTCTCCTCCACCATCGTGACTGAGGTAAGAGGCTCCATTTACCTTTTGAAAGTACATGGTCCGGGAGTTTAGAGACAACACAGTACTGAACATACTTCTAGCCTTTAGTTACTGTTAAGTGCTCATTTTTCATTCTTTCAGCAAATATTAATTATCTCTTTATTGAATGCCAGACACCTATATATTTAACAAGTCCAATGAACTCAAAAGTAGATGTGACCTAGCTATGATATGGCTTTGATTATTAGGAAGACCAAAGGTTAAGCAAATAATTAATGAGATGTATTAAAAAGGTCAGTAATGCTCATCTTTGCTTGAAAATTAGAAATATCAGGGATATTGATCAAAATCTCTAAGCACTGTACCCCAGAGCAGTCATATGAGATGATCTGTGGTGAAATTTGACACCATTAAATGTTTAAAGCTCTTCAAATGACTGTATTCTGTGGCCAAGGTTGAGGACCCACTTAGTATGGAATGAAACAAGGAATTAATATAACTAATAGGTTTAGAGGAGGCTTCCTAAAGGAAGTTATGTTTAAGCTGAGACATGAATAATAAAAGTCAGCTAATATAAATAAAAGAAAGCTGGAGAGGAAGAAAGGGCTGATTTAAAGAAACTTATAAATCATTTAAGCTGTTTCAATCAGGTTTCCACTGAGGGGTTATAAGTCATGGAGCTCTCCTTTGCTGGTTTCCTTCTCTTTCAGTGGGACCTGGTATGTGAATCTCAGTCACTAAAATCATTGGCAAAGTTCTTATTCATGGCTGGAATGCTGGTGGGAAGCATCATATATGGTCATTTATCAGACAGGTGAGTGTCTCTAGATCACAGATCTCTTCACTCTGGAGTATTTTCCTGAACTCATGAATCATTCCTCCATTAAGAAACATTTATCGCAAATTAAACTGTCCTGGGTCTTCCTTGGTCCCCAGGGATCTAGAAACATAAACAAATGGAGAGTTACAGTCAGTGTGGTGAGTGCTATTTTGTCAGCTGTGGGAGCACTGTATCTAGGCTACAGAAACAACATCTCCATCAGACATGGGGGCATTCCAGGACAAGGTTTAGAGCAGAGAGGTGCCACAACACGTGGTTTATGAAGTTGAGGAAGAATTACCTATGGGAACAGAGAGGAAGATGTTTCATGTCATGAGATTCAACCTATTTGATGACACAGATATAGAAGACATTGTTGCAGGCCTTGGCCAGGGGGCCATTTTCAGCCCCTCCTGGACCCTTTGACCTGAATGCGTGTGGATTTTCATGGTCATCATGTCATTATTTCTCAAGCATGATGGGCAGACATTCTCATGAAACCCATAGTATACATAGCAATGTGTCTTGGTGGTGTATAGAAAAATTATTCCAGTAACCTTGATTTTTATTTTTGCAAAAACAGCACTTTAAAGGGAAAATTTTCAACCATGTAAAGTAATTAATCTAATGACAACTGCTGTCACCAATTGTGGTATTAGATATTGGAGTATCCTGTGCCTGACAGTACCACTTCTGAATTAGACAGCCAACCATTGCCACCATCCAAGCCTGTCTCTTCTAAAGGGCATGGGGAATTAAGATACCCCTTACCATCTATTAGCATAATGTCATTTGTTAGCTCAGCTGAAAACTGTGAATTATGAATGTATGGCAGTTATATATACCTTATAAAAATGTTCAGAGTTGGAGTGTTCATTTCTAACAGTTCTGTAACACAGAACTACCCACCTTGAAGAAATACAAATAAAACAATTATACATCTATGCTGATTGATTTTTGAGAAGGGTTCTAAGACAATTCAATGGGTTAAATATGGCCCCTATTTAACAGACAGTGCCATGACAATTGGATATCCACATGCAAGAGAATGTGAATAAACCTAAAACCATAACAAATATTAATACAAAATGGAATAGTGTCTTAAATACAAGGGCTAAAACCACCAAACTCTTAGAAGAAACAAGGGCAAACCTACTTGATTTTAGGTTTGGCAATGTATTCTTAAATATATCACTAAAAGCCTGAGTAGCAAAAGAAAATATAGATAGACTGGACTTCATCAAAATTTAAAACTTTTGCACATCAAAGGACATTATCAAGAAAGTGAAAGGATAACTTATGTAATGTGAGGAAAATATTTGTAAATCATATTTAAGGAATGAAGATAGGTGAATAGACCAATGGAATATGGTTAATATCCAGAATATATAAAGAACTCCTACAACCCAACAACAAAAAGACAAAAAACTCAATTTTTAAATGGGAAAGGATTTGAATATACATTTCTTTAAAAAGATATACAAATGGTGCATAAGCACATGAAGAGGTGCTCAACATTATGTCATTTAAAAAACTGCAAGTCAAAACCACAATAAAATGCTACTTCATACCTACTAGGATGGCTACAATCCAAAAAAAAAAAAAGGAAAATAACATGTATTTGCAAGGATAGAGAGAAACTGGAATCTTATACATTGCTTGCTGATGAAGAGGTAAAATAGTGCCATTACTGTGAAAAATACTTTGAAAGTTCTTCAAAAAGTTAAATTTAGAGAAACCATATGACCCAGCAATCACACTGCTAGGTATAAAACCAAAAAAAGTTGAAAGCAGGGACTAGAACAGATAGCTTATGCAACAATGTCATTTCAGCATTATTCACAATAGCCAAAAGGTGAAAACAACCCAAGTATTTTATCAACAGCTGGTTAGATAAAATGTGATGTGTACACAAAATGGAATACTGTTCAGCCATAAAAAGAAATAAAGTTCTGAATCATATTAAAACATGTAGAACCATGGATACATGCAAAGTAAAATAAGAGAGACAAAAGGGGACAAATATTGTATGATTCCAATTATATGAAACATGTAGAATTGGAAAATTCACAGAAAAAAAGGTAAATTCGAGATACCAGAAGCTGGGAGTGGGGGAGGAATAATGGGGTATTATTGCCTAATGGGTACAAAGTTTCTGTTGAGAATTCTGAAAAATTTTGGCAGTAGATATTGATGATGGTTGCACAACATTGTGAATATATTTAATACCAGTGAGTGATTTATACAATCAAAAGTGGTTAAAATAGCAAATTATACTTAATATATTATACTGCAATTAAAAAGATACATAATCAAAAGAATGAAAAGACAAACCACAGACTGGGAAAAAACACTTGCAAAAGACAGCTGAAAAAGGATTGTTATCCAAACTATACAAAGAGCTCTTAACCCAACAACAAAAAAATGGGCATCCCAATTTTAAAAATGGGCAGAAGACTTGGACACCCCACCAAAGAAGTTGTACAGATGGCAAAGAAGAATATAAAAAGATGCTCCACAACATATGTCATTAGGGAAATGCAAACTAAAACAATAAGATACTACTACACACCTATTAGAATAGCAAATTAAAAACAAAACAAAACACTGACAACACCAAATCCTGACAAAGATGTAGAGTAACAGGAACAAACTCTCATTCATTGCTGGTGGGAATGTAAAATGGCACAGCCACTTTTGAAGACAGTTTGGCTGTTTCTTATAAAATTAAGCATTCTCTTGCCATATAACCTAGCAATCATGCTCCTTGGTATTACCCAAAGGAGTTCAAAATTTATGTCTACACAAAAATCTACATATGAACGTTTATAGCAGCTTATTCATAATTGCCCAAAGTTGGAACCTATCAATGTCTCCTTCAGTAGATTAATGCATTAATAAACTGTGATACATCAGACCACGGAATCTTATTCAATGATAAAAGGAAATGAGCTATCAAGTCATGAAAAGACATAGATGAAACATAGATGCGTATTACC